AGAAAAGCAATCATTCAAACACACGTGCAAGCATTCATTCACACAAGCATTCAGACAATCAAGCAAGCATTCAGACAAAGCGCAGGCAATAGAATTTAAATGCGAAGCGATTTTCTAATCCTAGGAAATAAGTCTAGCGCTACAACTAAATCCTACGTGACACAAAAATGCATATGGTGGATTTTGATGTAGGGTTTTTCGAAAACATTTTCTAAAAGGGTTTGGCCTAATTATACTAATCAAGTTTTAATTTGTTATAAAGTTTTTAAAAAGTTTAAATTTTTAGTGGTTTTTATCATGATGCAAAAACATGGCCCCTTTCAAAAAGTCCTAGTCTCATATTGTTGCAGCGGCCTCGTCCTTTACTGGTGTGCTGTGCCTGATGGATTACGTCGCTATGTTGTCTGCAATCCAGCGACCCACAAATGGCATGTATTGTCGCATAGCATCCGTTCTGTTGGTCAGGATCGCTTAGGTTTTGACCCAACGTCCTCGCACTTCCATGTGATTGAATTTATTGAGGTGGAGGGTGCGTGCGTAGGTGTGGAGATCTACTCATCTAAAACTACAGCATGGATCTTTAAGGAATCTGAATGGGACGAGGGTATTGTTCTACATTCAAAATCAAGAAATGTTTTTCTTAATGGTTTTATATAGTTGTTGTGGATATGTAGAAAAAGACATGGAGGACAATTCGTAAACTAGGTGGTGCTGAAATGTCCATCCATCAAGCCTAGGATCATCTGTGTGTTGTGCTGATTTTTGCAATATGTCTTGGCTTTTAGTGTGGATACTTGAAGACTATGGTACTGATAACTGAAGATTGAAAGCATGTTGTGGACATGGAGGAACTATTTGGACACATGAATATTAAAGTTGGTTATGAGCTTTGTGATAAGAAGTACAAAGTGATTATAGTTCACCCAGAATGAAATTTTATTTTCCTTGTTGGGAATGATAGAACATTGATTGCATATGACATAGACTGCAGAAAGGTTCATGTCATCCATGCTCGTGTCATCCACTTTTGTAGATCAAGAGGGCATTTCCATGTGAATAGGCCTTACTGTCTTTCTTATGTTCCTTTGTTCATGGAGTCATTAGCAGAGCAGTAAAGGTGCATTTCCTGTATTTCGTCGGCATGACAGTCTTTGTTCAGGTAGGGAGTTGTTTTCATTCTATGTATGTATAGGCCAATTTTGACTTATTAACTAAAGGAATGGTATGTTCAATATTATTAATTCTACTACTTTGTTCAGGTTGTGGATCAGAGATGAATAAGAGGAGTTTCATGGTGCATTGGCTACCAATCCAAAGGATGCACTAATTATATTTATTTTGTCTTGCAAGCAGGAGTGCCACATAGAAGGAGCACAACTATGTTGTTTCAGTATGCAAGTCTGTATAGATTAGTACCTTTAGTATGCTCCATGTACCGCTTGTGTTAGGACATCAGTTGAGAAAGATGTTATGGTAGCATCCAGTGTTATTATAAAAAGTACTCTTATTTTTTAACATGATTTAAGGATGTAATGATTATATATCTGTATGCTTTATGTTTATGAAGCTATTAAGGACCCAGCTGAATTAGTAACTATTGTGAAACTAGATGAAATTCTGTCACCGTGGATATAAGCGCCATTCATTGTTTTGTTATCACCACCGTCACCATATGTATGATGCGGTAGGGATCAAAAGTATATCACCGCCGAATCCTTTAGTAACTCGACACCGACTAAACGATCATCAAAGGCGGATCGTGGTGCAAGGCGATGGTGACCGTGACCTTTATACTGGCGGATCATACGCTGAAGCGATGGTGGTGTTAACCTCTACACAGGCATCTCGGCCGTCGAAGGGACAGTGAACCCGCATCGCTGACAGTTGGGTCAAAGTACAAAGCGAAGGTGCTGGTGACCACTACATAGGTGGTTGATGTGCCCACACATTGGTTTTGATAGCCTCGACATAGGCGGACCATTTGCCAATGCGGCGGTGTTAGTGTATATCCACAACCAGGTCGTGCTCCAATGCGACAGAAGTAAGGACCTAATCACGGATGGATCATAAGCTAATCAATGGTGTTAGTGTACACCATAGTCGGTCCCAGATGCCGACGGTGAAGGCTATGACCATCACTGCCGACAGCTTACCACCAAAGCTGAAAATTGACTACTACGATGGGGGTTACAACGTGGCTGTGAAGGTCCGAGTGTAGTAGTGATAGCCCACTATTTAAAACACTGCTCCTACATGGGCCAAGGCAGGGGTATTTCTGGTGTCCCTAGGAACACCAACTTATTTTGCTAAAGCAAAATATATTTGTATATATAGTCACTACAACACAGGGGACCTTTGGTGACGATCAATAATTGTCACCAATAGGGCTTTATTTGTCGTAACACATAATCTATGATAATTTAGTGACAAACACTATGGTCACACAAGGTGTGTCTCTAAGGACCTTCTATGACGATGGAAAGAATATCGTCATTAATTTAATGACCAATATATTTTGGTCATAAATGTTGATATTTTTTAACATTTATAGAAAGAATCCGTAAGCATACGTAATTACCATTGTAGCTTTCATCCGGAAGTATTCAGGGTATCATATTTTCATAGGGAACGGAGGTGTTTCTTCTAGCTAATTCGTCCAAGGACAACACAAAGATAGATGATGAGGGTAGAGAGGGATTCCTATGGATTAGGGTCTAAGGATAGATAAACTTTACTCCTACTTGCTCACTTTGGGCACCGGCTTACACCTGGTCTGCCAAGCGATACCGGCCTACGGCTCCACGTCGAACCCGAACATGGGGGAATCCAAGGGACGGACAGGGCTGTCACCACCTGCCGCCTACCCCTCAACCGTGGGGCATGAGGCAAACGAAGGTAGCCTCTAGCCTAAACACCACGTCTACGCTATCGACTACTACTCTAGTATTGATCAGGGTTATCCGTCTTCATCAGGGCCCTCTACTAGTGTATCTTGCCACGGGGACGGACGATGAACCCGCAACAAGTAGAAGTATAGCTTAACTAATCAAAATACTTTTATAACCAAAGGAACCACGAACACTTACTAAGATACCCGTTGAGGTACAAAGGCGGTGTTCATCGAGGTACAAGAGGAGGGACACCGACAAGTCCGGCTCTTCCCCCGAACTCTCCCTTTTTCTCTTCTAGAGCTAGCTAGGGCCTAAGCCCATGGAGTGGTGTTGCTCTTGCTCTTGGTCTTGTGCTCTTCTCTTGTGTGTGTTGTTGTGAGGAGAGGGGAGCCTCCTTTTATAGGTGGAGAGGAGGGGGCTCTTTGAATAATGCCTCATCCCCTCATGGAAAGTGCAAACCGCCTTATAGGTACGTTGAATCTGCCCGACACCTTATGAACCACCCTTGGAGAGGCGGTATGAACCAACCTGGCAAGGTTAGGCTCGAAGCAGGCCAGCATGGGTGCGGCCGAACCCCCTGTTGGGCCACCTTGAGTCCAACTTTGTCAGGGGTCTTCTTTGATCTTCTATAGTGGGCCTGTGTTGGTGTTCTGCGAAGATAAGGTTGTCGCCTTTATTTCAATGATGAATGGTTCAACGACTAATATATAAAAATAGAAAAAAGTCTATATAGCCAATTTTGTATCGTCGTAGTTATAAAATATCAAAATATACACATGTTTTTAGTATAAACTAGCTATTATGTACATACTCATACATACAACAAAGAAGACAGACCTAGCATGCCCAAGACTAATACACAGCCTAAAACTTAACTTCTATGAGAATTGCACGTCATTTTTTGTTAATAATGTTAATCTGTACATATTGCCAACTTCTCTTATCAATGCACAAGCCACCTCACCCTGCTGTGGTAACCTCATAGCAATGGATATAGACATGGGTGTTGACTAGCGCCGCTTCCCCAACAGTGCTGGAGATTGAATGTCGCAAACCCATTTACTATAGTGGTACCTTCAATGCAACTGACAAGCCTCAAGTCTAGGACACTCTCTGCTCACCTCAGATGCCTTCACCATTTCGTCATGTCAACCCATATTTGTCACTAATCTGCCCACGCGAGGTGCTCACTACCTTGCACTGCTCTACATTAATTTGCTTACGCAGTCCATCGCATGCAGAAGCCTGCAACTCTTGCTCGGCAAACACGCCTGCCGCATCGACACCCTCCAGTGACCTCCTACAAGAATATGCATCCACCCGTCACCATGTCGTCCCTACCAACACTCCCTGCTCTATGCCCACGCACACTACAACACAGGGGACCTTCGGTGACAATCAATAATTGTCACCAATAGGGCTTTATTTGTCGTAACACATAATCTATGATGATTTAGTGACTAAAACACTGGTCACAGAAGGTGCGTCTCTGAGGACCTTCTATGATGATGGAAAGAATATCGTCATTAATTTAATGACCAATATATTTTGGTCATAAACATTTATGACAACTAAGATCGTCATAGCAAACATCATGAAACGTTGACTAGGCCACTACCACATGAACATCCATGTGGGACTTTTGTTTCGGCTTGGCCCATTTAAACTTTTGTTTGGGCTGATTTTTTTCATGCAACCCAATCTGATTTTTTAATAGTTAACATTACAGTCAGCAATTAACACAATTTAACATGCTAGCCATACATTTGCATTCACTAAAACATTACATCAGTTTGATAGTCATACATAAGCATTCACCATTCACCAAATTAGGTCCAGCAAGAACAAAGAGCTAACTCCTACAAAATAGGTCCCAATGTCGAATAGTTCAAGCCCATTTCAAGCTGAAACATTATAGCCACAAAAGTAATCCAAGAAGACCTGCAATGGCTGACCAAAAGTCATCCAGCATCCACAATGTCAAATAGTTCAAGCCCACATCAAGCTGAAATAGTACAGCCACAAAAGTATTCCAAGAGGACCTCCAATTGCTCGCCAAAAGTCATCCAGCACACCCACAAGATTACTCAAGGTTTAGGGAGGAGTCAACTAAACCTGTTTGAAGCTTATGAGCTGCCGAAGGAGATTGTTGTTTTCTTCTTGTGCCTTCTTCAAATTCTGGATCTCCTCTGATTGCTTTGCCATTGTTGCCTCAGATTCTTCTGCATGCATCTTTAAGGTGTCTACTTGTAGCTGAAGTCCCGACTTTTCTTGCTTCTCAGACTCAAGTTGAGCTTGTAGCTCTTGCACTTGTGAAGCAACATCCCTTGAGCTTGTTCCAGAGCTATATTGAAGGCCAATATTTTGAAGGAATGTACTGGACTGTGGCAGAACTTGGGCAACAACTTGAATATCAGACTTTGGCTGCTGTCCTTCTTGTAGTGGTTCAGCCTGAATTGTTTCCATAGAAGCCTAGCAATACAACCATTCAGACTCAATCTTACATGTTCTCAGGTTTGCTTTCAAGTACATGAGGCAAAAGAAAGGAAACTAGTACTTACAATAGCATTCTTCACAGGTTCACAGAAACCAGTCTTCTTACTGCAGTGTGTGACCTTGAACAAATCAATTGCAGTGGGCTCTGTATCTTTATACTTTTCTTGCATCTGAAATGACAAGAATCATGACATTATATGGTTACTTTCTTACCGCAAATTATACAACAATCATGAAATTAAAATTTAAGCCACAAGATCACACATCATATAGTTACTTTCTTACCGCAACATAGGCACATGCAATGTAGCACCGAGAGCCTGTTCGCTGCTGAAATTGGACTTTCTCACGATTAAGTTGGTTCTTGACACACTTATCCTGTAAATCACAAAATGTGTAAAAGTAATGGAAATAGTAAATAGTTCAAAAAAATACTACAGCATGCTACTTTCATGAAAAAACAGAATGGAAATGAATATGTTACAGGCAGGATCGAAGAACAAAGGTGACTTTACATAACAGAAAAGTTATCAAGATGATGGCATGTTTCAAAATTCTAAATAGAGATCATATGAGATACAGATTACATCAAGTTACACTACAAATGGGAGCTGCTCCTTTGAACTCAGGTTTGCAAGCATACTAAGGTTTATACTTTTTTCCTTGTCTATGATTAGATTAAGGACTACAAATCCCATTTGTTACAAAACAACTCAGATATCTGGCTCACGAATTTCAGTATTGGCTAATATATTTTAGGATGCAAAGAGAAACAGGAATCTTCAAACACTTCTCCTGTAGATCACACATTGTATTATGGAGTAACAAAAACAGTAAATACTAAAAAACTATAGCATGCTAGTACATATGTTTTATACCTTGTGCTTTGAGGATGACCACATCTCCACCAATGCTCTCCATTGGTCATCACTCATACAGCTCACAGGTGACATAGTCCTGACTTGATTTGCCGAAACCCCGTCAAAGTACTTTTTCTTCAGTGTATGCATTCTCTGTCGCTCTCCACGCTTCAGCATATCAACACATGCATCTTTCACTGGCTTAGCCTTGATGTCCATGTCGAATTTGGCCTAGTAAAAACAATCAAATTTAGAGTTGAGAATGGAAAGGACACGATGAACTTAGATTAGACATGTCAAATAGTTAGACTTACAGCTAATTTGCCAATATAGTTATCAATTTGATCCTCATTCTCCTTAGCCTTGTACTCCTTCCAGTGTGGAAATATAGGTATATGATCCCTAAGTGCGATCCCACCTTCGGATGCAAGCTTTGCGGCTTGCATAGGTGCCTCTGGCCTTCTCTTCCCTTCAGTCAAATGGATTCGCATCTTGTTGCCTAACCCTCTGGTTAAACAGTCCAATTCTTTGCCCATAGTTACTCCTCTTTGCACCTCTTGTGTCGTTGGAGTTATTGTACCTAACATGGTTTCATTTATGGAGTTAAGCGAAGAAAAAGGAGATAAGCAAAGAAAAATATAGATGACAAGATATAGAGGAAGCACAAATGCTAAGGTCAGATTACTCCCTGTCTAAATCAACCATCCATATGCTAAGTCCATATTATGATCACATAAAAAATATCAGCATTCAAACATTGATGTATCAAATTAAAAGTAATAGCTTCTACGTGCACTGCAGTTCAGTATCAGCATTCGGCACATGCTAGTTCAGCACTACGTGCACTGCAGTTCAGCATTCAGCACTACCTACAATGTAGTTCTGCACTGCTATCACTAAGTAGATCAGCTGTGCACTGTAGTTCAGCACATGGTGTCGGGTTCATAAACCCGGGGTCCCCAATGGACCCGCTTTCCTGCATTACTTGGCCCAGCAGGCGGCGCAGCGACAGCGCGCGTCTGGGCCAGCCTAGATACACAATGACAGGCCAAGACCACGATCCGGTCCCCGACCGGCACCTCTGGCCAGGAGACCTGGTCGGAGCCCCGACCGAAAGGCCTGGCCGAGGTGGGACCATAGTCTGACTCCGACCCGTTCCTCCGACCGAGGATATGCCGGACATTTGCTCTCCTCCGACTGGGAACGACCGACAAGGACACCTACTCGGTGTGGGCCCGGGGAGCATGCGGAGCAGATAAGGTAAGGCGCTCAAGTCAACCGCAATACCGAGGACCGTACCCTACCATGCCCTGCGCACCTGCAGGACGGTGCCGTCAGACCATGTCGGACGGACACTATATAGCCTTCCAGACGTGTCAGAGCACAAACAATATTGTGGACGCCGTCATTTGCTGTCCCTGGCGAACACTATGCAGCCTGCTAGGTCATGAACAGTAAAGTTGGCGAACACTATGCAACCTGTCAAATACAGCATGTCATGAACAGTAAGGTGAGCTATGGCGTGCCATACCCGATGGCGTGGGCAACAATACTAGGTAGCACCCATACACTCTCTTCCTTTCCGTCTTTGACTTGTAAGGCCATCCCCTTCATCTATAAAAGGGGATGCGCTCTCTCCTAAAAGGACGGGGGCAAAAACGGCTAAATAGCTCAACAGCTCTAGAGCTCGATAGCTACACAGTCTACATGCTCTCAACAGCTGATAAGCTCGGACACACACAGAGCATACGCTCCAATACTTAGTGCACGTTTGAGCATCCGTCACTCTCTTTCACTCGGTTCAAAGTCCGACCGAGCCTCTAACACCCCCTTCTCATTCCTTACTCGTTTGTAACCTCACGGCAAACTTCGAGCACCTAGGCTCAGGAATAAAGTCACTGACCGACCTCAACTGGACGTAGAGCCCATTGCCTGAACTAATATAAATCTTGTGTCATTGAGTGTTAGGCCACATCCGATCACAACGCACGGCAAAACTATAAATATTTACTTGTTGGCCACATTTCGCACCGACAGTTGGCGACGTCCGTGGGGAGAGACGCCGTGCGTTCACACTTTTGGTCATCAGATGGCCCACCTTTCCACCATCTTCGGCATGGTAGGCTCGAGCGATACAATTCACTTCGGCTCGCTGGAGTTTCCCACGCTCCCACTTGCTGGGACGTGGCTTTCTCCCGTCTTCGTGCCACTCCAGACTTTCCTCTTTGGGAGTCTGGACTTCGTCGCCGATGATTTTTTTTTATTTTAACACTTTTTGTAAACTAATTTTAAATCTAACACTGTTTTATTTTTTTTCCAAAACTAACACTTTTGGCCACGCCTATTGCCATGGCGCGGCGAAACGCCTGTGTCGCGCCATGCATGGTGGCACGGCGGGAGGGATGATGTGGCAACGATCGGGGCGCTGACCGGTGATGTGGCAGGGTCTGCTGCGCCACCGATCTTGGCGCGGCGCCGTCGCGCCATCCCTCACGGCGCGGCAGTCCCAGGTAAATATCGCCCGCGAGCCACCCTCCCTCTATCTGCCTTAACGCGGTTGGTGAATTCCACGCCGTGCCCTCCCACCACTCCGAAGTGCTATCAGCGCCTGACCCTCCGTTGCCGCCTCCCTCCCTCCTTTCCCTTCCATTCTCTGGCCGCCTCCCTCCCTCCTCGGCCTCATTCAAGGTAATGACACACTTTTTATTTTTGTTTGAATGGTGGATTGAAATATTATAAATATGAGTTAAGGTTAGGAGGAAAATTATGTTTGGAAACTATGGGCTATGGTTTGGAGGAAGATATTAGTTTGATTTTGTCAATGTTAAGGTTGATTATTTAGTTAGAAGTATGTTTACCATGTATATTTTTGTTGCTATAAGTGTTGGTTATATTATTTGAGTTGCAATGCAAATGATTATATTTTACATTAATTTGTGTTGTTTTGATTGATGTTTAATTTGAACCGTTTTATTAGATGGAAGACATGTTTTGGGAGCAGTTGTGGCGAAAACTGGGGTGGTCCTAGAGAATTGTACCTCGACGAGTCTAGGAAAGATGCCGTCGTCCCTCCTAACCTCCCTTTCCCTAACTGTGACTATGGTTGTCCGACCGATGTGTTTCAATCGAGACATCCGGACACAGCAGCTCGTTGCTTCTATACATGCAGTCCATTTAATGTAAGTAATTGTTTTTGTATGTTTTTTCTTCATTTGTTTTACTAGGTTACTAATATTTTATTGGAATTTTGTTGTGTAGGCCCATGAGAGGTGTTTTTTCTTTCAGTGGATCAACGATGCAGACAAGTTTGACCCCAGGTACTTCCTTTTCGACGATTGGTGGAGAGGGCGACATCCACGAGAGCACTTCGAGCGGTGGGTTCCACCTCCCCCTAACCCCCTCCAATGACGGCTAAGGAGAAGCACTTAGCCGTAGTTAGACGACTCGAGGAACCTCCTCTGTGCGATTGCGGAGATTGAGTTGTAATAAACCCTGAGAATACGTTGGAGTTTGTGTGTCCAAACAAGCATGAAGTAAGTGCAAAGTGTATGTGTTCAAATGTTGAGCTATATGTGTTCATGTACTAACGTCACCTTATTTAGGTGTTTTCAATGGCAAAGTGTCATTTCAAGGAGTGGTTGTATGGTCCTAAGAACCAATGGCCGGAAGAACTGCCAAAGGTTAAGGAAAAGAAGAAAGAAAGGGTAATTTACAAAGCACCTTCTGTCATGTGCGAATGTGGTGTTAAATCCAACTATGGCCTAGTTTCTTCGGAGCTTGGAATAGGCCATTATTGCGGCCATATGGTTGACTATGATGAGGTTGGTTATTTTTGTGGTAAACATGAAATCGTATTTTGTTTCTTTTGCTAATACATATATGATATATTTTTTTTTTGAACAGAGCACTAGTAAATGCAGGTGGGAATGTTATGATGGTTAAGCTAAGTTCTTGGATGAACTAAAGGGGAGGCAAGTAATTGCACGGAAGAGGGGATATGGACCTGACTACGTCAACCTATTCGTTAAACATCACAAAGATAAGATGCGTGAGTTTGCTAGACAGCGCGGTATTCATAACCCGATCGATGTTGGGCTTGACAAATGGGGATTTGAGAGACGGAGGGTGTTATAGGAGGAGAGGTAAGGAGGCAAGGGAGGAGACAAGAGTACAAATGCAGGTCTTGAACGAGCATGTTGTTGCATTATTTGCCAGTGAGTGCTTGAAAGCCTTTTTTCGTTGCCTGATTTTAAATGTATATAATCGTGTTGCTAACTGATTGCATTTTATACATGAAGGGATTGGATGCAGCGAGGACCATGACGGAGAGGTAGCTCATGCAAGGTATGAGGAAAAGAAGTTAGATGAGCATAGAATGCGAGCTGGTCGCACCGTTCAATCACCGATTGTGTTGTCTAATGAGGGGGACAAGGATGAAGACGACACTGCCAGACTGAGTGAGCTCATCGCTCTAGCAAAGGCGGGCTTGCAAGCGGAGGAGGCTGAGGATGACACTGG